CCCCCCCCCCGTCAGCAGGTCTCCACTGAATCAGCAGCAGGAGTCCTGGATGATCCCCCCGTTGCGTGGCCCCTCCCCCGCTCCTTCCTGACCGGCGCCGCAGCGATCGCAGACTCTAGGGGAGGGAGCAATGTTTTCTCCTACCGTTCCAGTGCCTCCGAAGGTGTAAAGCTAGGTTTATGATCTCTGCCTTCTTGGTATTGTAGGTCTCTAACAAGCTGGCATTATGTTTATTCTCTGAAATTCAGTTCTTCCAATCTTTTGTTGTATTTTGGAGGGGAGAGAATCCCAGGTCAGCTCACCCCACCATTTTGCTCCGCCCCCTCCTGTGTTCTGCTGTTTTTTGATGGAGTGTTCTTTTTATCTATCTATTAAGTCCATCTGCTCTAGTTTTTCATTTAATTCCACTGTTTCCTTGTTGACTTTTTGTTGGGTGATCTATCCATTGATGTAAGTGGGTTATTGAGGTCTCCTACTATTATTGTGTTGCTGTTAAGATCTCCTTTTTGGTCTGCTAATAGTTGCTTTATGTATTTGGTGCTCCTGTTTTAGGTGCATATGTATTCATAAGTGCTATGTCCTCCTGGTGGAAAGTCCCTTTTATCATTATATACTGCCCCTTTGTCTCTCATTGTCTTTTTTTATCTTGAAGTCTGGTTTGTCTGATATAAGTATGGCAACACCTTCTTTCTTTTGTGTGCCATTTGCTTGTAGTATTGTCTTCCATCCATTCACCCTAAGTCTGTGTTTGTCTTTAGAACTGAGATGTGTCTCCTGGAGGCAGCATATTGTTGGGTCTTGTTTCTTAATCCATCCCACCACTCTATGTCTTTTGATTGGAGAATTCAATCCATTTACATTTAGAGTGCTTATTGACATATGAGGGCTTAATATTGCCACTTTATCTTTTGTTTTCCAGTTGTTCCACATTTCCTTTGTTTCTCCTCCCATGTATTTCTGACTGCCATTTCAGTTTGGTGGTTTTCTGTGATGGTTTTCAGTTTTCTCCTTATTTACCATTTGTGTCTCTGTTCTGATTTTTTCTTTAGCGTTTACCATGGGTTTTGTATAAAAGCTCTCATAGATGAGACAGTCCATTTTCTGATAGTCTCTTATCTCCATTAGCCTAAGCAAGTTCCACCTCTTTCCTCTTCCCCATCTAAGATATTTTTGTCACAAATTATTACATTTTGTGTTGTGAGTCTGTGGTTAAAATGAAGTGTTTATAGTTATTTTTGATGCTTTCCTTCCCTTTGTCTTTAATGTTACAATTAAGTGTTTGCTAACCTATTCTGATAGAGCTGCAATTTTCTGATTTTGTCTGTCTATCTCCTTGCTCAAGGCTTTGTAAACCGTTTCCTTTTCATTTCAGGTGTGAGGGCATTCTTGATCATTTCTTATAGGGGTGGGGGGTCTTGTGGTGATGAACTCCCTCAGCTTCTGTTTATCTGGGAAAGTCTTTATTTCTCCATCATATCTGAAGGATAGTTTCACTGGATAGAGTATTCTTGGCTGAAAGTTTTTGTCTTTCAGTATTTTGAATATATCATTCCACTCTCTCCTAACCTATAAGGTTTCCACTGAGAAACCTGCTGAAAGCCTCATAGGGGTTCCTTTGTAGATTATTCTCTTCTGCCTTGCTGCCCTTAATATGTTTGCTTTGTCATTTACGTTTTCCAGTTTTACTACTATATGCCTTGGAGAAGGTCTTTGTGCATTGATTTAATTAGGAGTTATACTGGCTTTGTTTACTGTAATTCCAGTCCCTTCCATAGATTTGGGAAGTTCTCAGCTATTATTTCTTTGAACAAGTTCTCTGCTCCTTTCTCCCTTTCTTCTCCCTCTTGAATACCTATAATCCTTATGTTGCATTTCCTAATTGAGTCAGATATTTCTCAGATAATTTTTTCATTTTTTTTAAGTCTTAGTTCTCTCTCCTCCTCCACCTGAAGCCTTTCTATATTTCTGTCCTCCAAAGTACTAATTTTGTCCTCTATAATGTCAGTTCTGTTTTTGAAGGTTTCTAGATTGTATTGTATTGCATCTCATTCATTGTGTTCTTCATCTCTGGCATTTCTGTTTGGGTTTTTTTAGAGTTTTGATCTCTTTTGTGGAGAATTCTTTCTGCTTATTAATTTTATTCCTGAGTTCACTGAATTGTCTTTCTGAATTTTCTTGTAACTCATTGAGTTTCTTTATAACTCTTTTGAATTCTCTGTCATTTAGATTGTAAATTTCTGTGACTTTAGGCTTGGTTTCTGGAGATTGTCATTTTCCTTCTGATCTGGAGTATTAATGTATTTCTTCATGGTGTTTGATGTAGTGGACCTTTGCCAGCACATAATGGTAGTTTCTGGTCACAGATTCCACCTGCCAACACTTGGGGGGTAGGGGCAGGAGCTGTCTGTTCTCAACCTGCTGTGTCCACTGCAAGTTGTGCCCATCCACTGGAAGCTGTGCTGATAGGGCTCATCTGCATCTGACTGCTGGCTGCCCCTGCCTGGTGGGTCACACACACAGGCTCAGGCACTCTGGTGTGGATCCACTGCCCCAGCCAACTGGCCAAGTTGGTGCACCAGGCAGGTGGGAGTGCTTTCTTTCACATGTGCAAGACTGCTCCACACTCACTGGTGGCTCACCTGAGCTGCTGGGCTTTGTAGGGGTGCCCACGTGGTGGCTGAGCCACCTTGGTGTGGAGTGTTCCCCACATGCTGGGATGCAGGTCATAAAGTGAAAGCATTCATGTGAAGGCCTGCCTGTCCCCTGCCCTGCTGCCGCCACTTAAGGGTCACACACTGGCCACTGCACATGGACTCACAACCTAGATTGCTGCCACTGGGGAGGGGGAGGATATCTGCTCACCTCCTTCCACTGCTTCCCATCGATGCAGTACCCCCAAACTTCAGACTTACGGCTGCATGGATCTCTCAGACATCCTATTGCTCTGTGTGGGTATCCTCTGTTGGTTAATGAATGTCCTTTTTGTTGTATCTTAGCAGGGAGAGACCAAGGGAACAGCTCACTCCACCATGATGCTGACATCACTCTCCACTTCATTCTTCCTGCTAATTATAAGACAAACAAACAAACAAATCTGGACGAAATTTATAAGGCAACTCACAGAAGCCCTAAAGATGAAGAAAAGAAGGTAGACTGGTTAGTAACCTTGGGCGGTGAGTTTCCTGGGGTTTTGTTTGCCTCTAGTATATCTGGACCTGGGCACAGGAGAGTCACTCAATCTGGAAACACCAATGGGCACAGACCAAAAAGCTCCAAGGAAAGCTCACTTTCTTCAGCCAAAAGACTGGGGGGAAAAGCATCTCAAAAGAACAGAAGTATTTTTACCAAAGCTTCCCTACTCAAGACAAACATCTCAAAAAAGTGACTCCCCTCTCACTTCCCACCGTGGGTGGAGCCCTATCTCCCACCTCTGCCCTGCACTTAGGAGTAGAAACCCCTGCACATGATCCTGCACTCTTCATTAGAACCTGGGCTGACATTGCATCCTAGATAAGCATTGATCTACTTCTGGGTCAACCAAGCTGAATTTGGGGAAAGTCTTTTGGTAAAAACTCCATCTTATACAGGTTCTGAGCCTTCTTTTTTGCCACTTTTATCCCATAAGTCAATTAAGCGTCTTTTTGTCTAGGCTAGGCAAATTCTTTCTAGGCAAAGGAGCTTAAAAATGGCTTTCAGCTAGAAAGCCTGTCTAGATTTTCTCCTCATTTTTGACCTGGTAATTCCTTACTGCTTTGTCATTTCGTTGATGCTTTTAAGAAGAGACTTTTACCATTTTATCTATCTTTTTCTATGTAGATCTTTTTAGCAAAAGAGCTTGTGCAATAATCTAGATTTCCATTACTATAAACATGAAGTCCACTTTTTAAAAACTTTGTATTGAATTATATCATACATAAAGAAAAGTACACAAATCATAACTCTACAGCTGGATGGATTTTCACAGGGTATATATACTCATGTAACTAGTACCCAGAACAAGTACCAGCACCCAAGAAGTTCTTCTCTTTACCACTTTCACTACCTCCCCCAAAGGAAATCATTCTCCTAACTTCAAAACTGTAGTTGAGTTTTGCTAGTTTTTCAGCTTCAAAAATGAAATTGCAACTTTTTGAAACTTGCTTCTTGTGTCAAATACTATATATGTAAGACTCATCTGTGTTGTATGTGTAGCAATAGTTCATTCATTCTCATTGCTGACAGTGTCCCATTGAATGAATATGCCATAATCTATCCATGCTACTCTTAATGGATTGGAATCACTCAGTCATAAGGTATGTGTCTATTTGGTTTTAGAAAACACTGCCAAATACATTTTCAAACTAGTTGTACCAATTTAACCTCTTACTAGCCATGTATGAGAATTCTGATTCTTTGTCTACTCTTGACAAATCACTTTTAACCACCTATGAAATCCTCAGTTACTTAACAAAAGAAAACAGTATCTTCTGTTCCCACCTCACATCATCCAAGATCTCTTGTCCTTTTATTAAACTCTGGGTTCTGAGTAAGCAAGTTCAGTTTCTGGACTTCAGTCAAGTAAAACTGTGAAATTAGAGGAGAGAAAATTATTAAAGAAAAGAAATTTGCATCATAAAGAATCTAGAGAAAAGAGGCAGAAAAAAAGAGAAGAGGAAGAAATGCTCTGGGCTGTATAGGCTCTGGATCTGGGAGTTTCTGAAGAGACTTGAGAGTAAGGTGAAAGAGTGTTAAAGTAACCAGATTAGGCCCAAGATGGAGTCACTTATGCTAAACCCAATGTCCACAACCCAAAACTTAACTAAATTTCTATGTTAGGCTCACCCAGAAAAGAAAAGTCTAGGTCAACTAATCAGTACTTGCCTGCTCAGTACAAGTTACCTGACCCAGCTCAAGACTTCCATTTGCTCCATATAGAGAAAGTAACTTTGCAATAACCAATCCACTTTTTCCTGGCACATCTTCCCTGTTCATGCTCCCTCTGCTTATAAAAGTCTTTCATTTTGTACAGCTCCTCAGAGCTCCTTTATATCTGCTGGACTGGCTGCTGTCTGATTAGTGAATGGCTGAATAAAAGTCTACTAGATGAATAAAATGTCTGTGGAAAAATTTCTTTTAACAGGAGAGAAAAAGGTTTTAGAATGTGAGAGATATAGTAAGAAAAGTGAAGAAAATGGAAGGTATTACTGTGAATTATGGATATTGGATCTCTTTGTTGCTTGAAAGGGGCAAACTAAGATTGGAATTACTATCAAGTACTTTTGAGTACTGAATTATTCCTTTATAAACAGAACCCCACACATACATTGGATCATGTAGATTTACATAGAGATTACATAAACAAGCTATTATAGTTGAAAACATTTGAGGAACATTTCTATTACTTCCCTGACAATATTCCTCCCTACCAATAGGCTTCTCTAAAACCTACTCTTCTTATGAATTCTTATGAATCTACTGACCACTCCCCAACTCTTCTTCACCCAATGAAAATCTGGGGACATGGCTCACGTTCTTCTTCTGTACTTGACACATGCCATAATCCTAGATTTCAACAGCCAAAGTATCTTTGTGATTCACTCGCCTATTTAATTCCAATGAGCTTCACCTATATTCAGTGATGTGTTATTGAAGCCAGTTCTTTCCAGCTCCTGAGAGCTGATTGTTCATACCTCTTTCCAATTCCACACACTATGACATTATGTTGGTAGCTTGAAGTCATCCATGGTAGGAGTATTTATACCACAAAAATCAACAAATGCTACAAATTGGGGCACTTTTTTTGAGGACCAGTTTACCAGCACATGATTGCTTCTACCCTACTTTGACCACTCATACTCAGATTCAGAAACAACCTTAGATTTTGTCATCAGCAGGAATTGCTCCACCCCAGAAATTTAAAACTCCAGTATGTCATTCTCTAACCATCACCTCAACTCTCAGCTCTCTCACAGCCCTATACCCCTATACCTTCTCTTCAGTATCACAGAGACCTTCAGGCTCTATTTGCATGTTCTCTCTGTACTCTGGAAAGGCAGAAAGGCTTCCAGCAACTGTGCTGTACTGCTTCCATTAAGAAGAGGACCAACAAACTACTTAACATTTACCAATTATCTCGTGAAGTAACACAAGGTTACAAAAATCTTGTTTCTTCAAAAATTGATCAAAATTTGTTCTCACCTTCATCTGAAAATGTTCACAGCATCTTCTTTTTCTTTCAGTTCATATAGAGGGTGAACCTGTTGGCATCTGCCAACAGGTCTAGAAATATTTCTTTTTGTTCTGCCTTTTCTCTTTCAACTAGATGTATCCTGTATCAACATACAAAAGAATTAAAACAACTTTCAAATGTCAGCTAAAATAATAAAAAGAAATAGCCCCTTGAAAAAATACAGACACACACATAGTAAAAATGGATTTCTAATGAAAACAGGTGTTCAGTCAGCTAAATAGTCCCATGAAGGATGTCATTTCAGAAACCACCCTCTCAACAGATATTTGGATAGAAATATCTGCCTGGGTACCAGGATGATATTGTGATGATCAAGGCATTACACATGGACTGAAGTACTTCTATGACAACAATTTCTGAATGGGATTCTTTAATTGGGATTTGAGGAAGGAAAAAGGGATTGGAAATAATTATATAGCGATAAAGAATATGTGAAAACTTGTTTTGTCATCATATATACAAACAGCTTAGATACACAAATAGCTAATTATATGTTTGAATATTGCTTTGAATACCAATTTCTAGAGAATGGTAATATCTCTTTATTCTAAAGTTAGTTTACAGTTGTAGCCCTATTTCCATGTTTTCTATGGCCTCCTCTGCCTTAGAATTACAGCCACCAAGACTAGTTAACTTGAAGTCAAGTCAAAATAAATAACCCAAGCTGAAGCACAGACACAAAAAAAGAATTTGAAAAACTGCATTAGAGATAAGTGGTACACACTCAAAAGATCTAACATATTTGTAATTAGAGACCAAGACTAAGAAGAGAAAGACAACAAAATTGATGAAATGATGACTAAAAATTTGCCAAATCTGATGACAGACATCAATCCACAGATTAAATAAACTCTGCAAATCTCAAGCATGATAAGTATAAACAAAGCCATATCAAGGCACATCATAGTCAAATTGTTTATAATTAAAGAAAGAGAAAAGTTATAAGCAGCCACAGGAAAAAAAAGACACATTACCTTCAAAGAAACAACAATAAGACTGATGGCTGACTTTTCAACAGAAACTAAAACAGTCAGAAAATAACAGAATGACATCTTTAATGCTCTGAAATTCTTGAGGTTGATGGAAAATGATCCCATTTAGAAGCACAGAATGGTAGGAATAAAAAGCACCAGAATAGGAATAGGCAAGTGTATGGGGAAACAGAAATAAGTACCATCAGTTAATAACTACTATAATAATAAAGACTGGTGGGATTTATAACATACATAAAAGTAAGTACATGAGAAAAATAGTACAGTGAGTGTGGAGTAGTTAAATGGAGTTAAACTATCATAAGATTCTTAATTTGGGGGAGAAACTATAAAAGCATTAATTTTAAGTAAACAATCATAAATCAAGCATGCATTTCTTTAACTCTAGATCTAGGGTAATCATTAAAGATAATAAACGTATATTATTAAAATATACAGAAGAAGAAAATTACAATAACGAAAATATTAATTCAAAGAAAGTGATAAGGGAAAAATTAAGGAACTTGATTAGAGTTCTCCAGAGAAAGAGAATCAATACGAAGTGTGAATATATGTAGAAAGAGATTTATTTTAAGAAATTGGCTCTTGATTATGGAAACTGGCAAGTCTAAAATCTGCAGGGTGGACCAGCAGGCTGGAGATCCAGGGAAGAACCAGTGTTGCAGTTCAAGTCCAAAGGGTGTCTGGTAGAATTCCATCTTCCTCAAGGGAGGTCAGTTTTTTGTTCTACTCAGGCCTTAAACTGATTGGATAAGGCCCACCTATACTATGGAGGGCAGTCTGCTTTACTCAGAGTTCATCAATGTTAATCTCATCCAAAAACACCCTCACAGAAACATCCAGAATAATGTTTGACTAAATATTTGGGCACTGTCGCCCAGCTAAGTTAACCCATAAAATTAACCATCACAGGAACAAAATGGGAAAAATAGACAACAAATAGCAGTCTAGTAGACTTATATCCAACTATATCAGAATTCACTTTAAATGTAAATAGCCTAAATACTCCAATTAAAAGACAAATATTGTAAGATTGGATTAAAAAAACTCAACTATATGCTATTTATAAAAGGTATGCTTAACTATAATGACACAGAAAGGTTGAAAATAATGAATGGAAAAAGATATACCATGCAAACACCAACTGAAAGAAATATGGTTTAGCTATGTTAATATCAGACAAAGTAAACTGTAAGGCAAGAAGTATTACATGAAATAAAGGGTGAGATTTCATAATGATAAGGGGGGCAATTCAATAGAAAAAATCCTAATTTTGTATGCAAATTGCTTCAAAATTAAAAAGTAAACGTTGACAGAACCAAATAAACACATCGAAAAATCCATAAATGTAAGTGGGGATTTTAACACACTTTTTTCAGTAACTTACAGAACAAGAAGTCTTGGGCCTAAGAATCTCAGTCAAATTAGCCCTCACTGCAAGGAGAGGACAGCTAAAGGGGCTGGAAGCCACACACGGCCTCAAAAGAATCTTTGTACAGAGTCTCCTCAAGTCCACTCCACAGGACCTCCTTCCAGTCTTTCTCTCATCTCTTTCAACACTGGTAGAATGATGAAATAGTGAGGAAAAAAAATAATGGTGTACTACACAGCCACCCATCTCTTTAGCTCTAAGGACAAAAACCACAGGTCCCTAGTGCCTCACTCTGTAGCCTTAATCAGAATTGTGCTGAAGAGTTTGCTGTGCCTCGTCAGCTGTTATACAAGCAGCTGTGGCGATGGTTAATGAATTGCTTTTAATTACTTCTTCACTTGAACTTTTCAGCCATCTTAAGTCAGATAGTGTCTGCACAACTGGAAAACAAATACACACACACACACACACACACATTGATCTCTTGTTGCCAGCCATTGAGTTTAAACATGTAGTTTCGTAAAACTTTGTCTCCTGCTTCAGTTTCAGGTCCCTATATGTTTTCTTTTTGAAAGTGACTTAGGAAACGCAAACCCCAGAAGAAAATGAAAGCTATCGGTTGGACTAACGTATAGTAAACATACAGACCACAGAATAGAAATGTTCTACACCAGAACTTAAATCCCAATAGAAAAGCTTTTCCTATTTTGTGACCTTCTTAAATATTACCTTTATTATAAAAGGGAAAATTAATGAGTATGTTTTCCCCTGCTGTCAACAAAAGCATATGATCAAACATCTCCTCCCTATATACACTGACAAAATAATGACAAGTCTTAGAATGAAAAATTGTAGCAATGTTAGATTAAGCAGTAATTGAAATTCTGTAAGATTTAAACTCTGTGAATCATTCAAGAGTATGGAGTTCACATGTTATTTGCAAGTCTATGACAAGAGACATGTTTGAAATTAGAAAATTCCCTGGGTTCTATAATTCATGCCATTAAATCCTATTTGCCTTTTTCAAGACTTTGAATGTTGACTGGTGTTTTTAAAGACAATTCTGGTTAGAGACGCAATATGTTCCTCTGGGTCCTTGATATCATATTTCAGGGACATTATCAGAGATGACTATTGGGCATACTTTTCTTTGCAGCTTTCTAGGTAAGACTTCAACTCTTACGATGCAATTATTTTTATGAGAAGTTTGTTTTGAAGATTCCTCATCTAAAGAGAAAGGGAAAGTGTTTTTAAAATCATTTATAATTATGGATTTTTAAAAATTCATGATTTAAAATCATGATGGGTATTTATATATAATTATATATTAAAGTCAACCCTTTGAAATCTGTGTATTCCAGTGTTCAATACATCTTAAAAACAAAATCAAATTAGCACAGATGGCTTGGAATATGTGATTTTATTCTCAACATTAAAATCATTTAACTTTTTAAAAAGAATAATAGTACCACGAATGAACTCTATAATTCCTAGCAGAAAAGAACATTAATATCTGCTTGCTTTGGGCCACACGCATTTTGCTTTACAATGTGTCCTATAAGGGAGTGTGTTCAGTCGTCTCATCTAGAGAGGAGACTGGGTTTATTCCTTGGTTCCTGGCCTTACTTGTGCTGATCAGAAAAATGGGTAGAGAGGAAAGTCAGCAGAAAGAACAAGGCTTAAACTGATTATTTTTTTCTAATGGCAAATAAAGCAAAGAAGAGATAGGAGGGCAAGAGGGATGACTTTTGGAAGGGGTAAGCAACACAGGAGAGCCAGCACAGGCCGGGATTTAGGGAAAAGACGAAAAATGAGAGTGGGGGTAGGGGAGGGGTATGTGCAACTACTGTGAGGTAGTTTGAAGACTTTGAAGAAAAGATGGGTAAAAGGATTTTCCAGAAATCCAGAAATTTTATATGATGCATTTTCCCCCTGTTGCTGACTCTGCAAGAGAACTCAGTAGAGGATGTGCATTTCCTACACGTGAACACTCTATTCTTTAAAATATTGTTCCATTTCCCAAAAAAACACGCTTGCTAAAGTTGTTACATAATTTTCAACCTAAACAATTCTAATAGGATGATTGCCATCTTCCCACCGTGGAGGACAGGAATTGCTAAATACCGGGCAGTCTGACACTGGGTTTGTTGAGGCAGTTCCAAAAAACTCTAAAGAGAAATCAGTTGCTCAGTCTGAGTAGTGTGGAGAGAGGTCCTTAAAAAAATTGCAGCATTATTAAACTAAAACTGCTTAGAATCAACTACAGCTATTTAGTTGTAATATTAATTAGCGAATTCTCTCTAAAGAAAAGCAGTGAAGTAACTAGTTAAAAGAACTCATCAGTTGATAATGAAATGATTTGAAATGTTTTATTTTGTGCTACACTCCAGGATTAGATTCTCTCCTCTTCCTACTTCCTTACATGAAAGAAACTTTTCACTTAGAAATTCTAAAGGAGTAGTTTTTTTAAAAAAAGAAGCACTTCTTTAGCAATTCGGGGTCTTTTGTTGCCCCATATGAATTTTAGGATTCTTTGTTCTAATTCTGTAAAGAATGTCATTGGGATTCTGATTGGGATGGCGTTGAACCTGTAGATTGCTTTAGGTAGAATGGACATTTTAACTATGTTTATTCTTCCAATCCATGTACATGGAATGTCTTTCCATCTCCTTATGTCGTCATCCAATTCTCTCAGAAAGGCCTTGTAAGGCCCCA